TTTTTTTTTTTTTTTTTTTTTTGGTACCGGGGATCAAACTCAGGACCTTCTGCTTGCAAGGCAGGCAGTGGCACCACTGACTAAATCCCCGACCCTGTCCTTCTCTTTTAACTGAAATTTTAGTGCTTGCCTTTGAAGATTTCACTGAAGATAAAGGCCTGGTGTTGTTGGAAGATGATGGATTTAAAATTTTTTCAGCACAGCAGCAGTTTGTACATAGGCAGCTTGTTAGCTTCCTTCCTCATGTGGGCAGCAAACTAAATGACAGTTTAGTTGAAGTGTTTCTGTGAAGTACTTGAGTCACATTTGAATTGAACTTATAAATTGCTCTTCTATAATGTTATGGTTTATTGCTATGAAAATGTGGTTAAAATAAATAGAAGACATAGATATGTATATGTATGTTATGAATGTTGTAAATATAATGAATAGATTTATTTAGTTTATTATTAGTATATGGTTGTGATACCTAGATACATATCGCATCTTAATCATTTTTTCCTTCTTCTTCCCTTCCCCTCTTGCCCTCCTATCTCTCCCTGATGAATAGATTTAAATGTCCCTTTCCCTGAAAAAGTATCAGAGTTTTCTGAACTTTTTTATAAGTTAATATGTAAAGTAATCAAAGGCCATCTAATTGGTTTTCCTAAATTCCATTTCCTGGTAAATGAGACATCTTTATCATTTTGATGAAAGTGACACACAAAAAAATTGTTCTTTGGTTTTAGGTCCTTCTTGGAGAGATTTATACAGGCACAAGTGTGGCAAGAGTAATAGTGAAGGAGTTAAAAGCAAGTGCAAGCCCAAAGGAACAAGATACTTTTTTGAAAAATGGTGAACCTTACTAGTAAGTAAGCCTTAGCATGTATTCTGTAAACATAGTGTGTGGTCTTTTGAAAACCAAGCATTGAAAACTACTTTGAGGTTTCTGCTTGCAACATGCATGATTAAGTAAGACCAGAATCTCATAAGATCCAAAACATCCAAATTTCAACTGAAAGTCACTTACCATCTTAAGAGCCAGGAGAACTCAACTTGAATAATTAAAAAATAGCCAACACTACGATGGCAGAGATGCTAGAATTATCTCACAAGTATTTTAAAGCAGCCATCACAGAAATGCCTCAGTGAACATGTGCAGTACACACAAAACATGAAACATACAGTCTCAACAAAGAATAGAAGACTGAAAGAAGACCTAAATGGAAATTTTAGAATTGAAAATTACAGTAACTGAAATTGATGGGCTCAGTAGCCAAATGGAAAGGAGACAATAAAGAAGCAGTGAAGTTGAAGATGAAACAGTAAGTATTGCCTACTTTGAACAAAAAGACTTGAAAAAAAATGAATAAAGACCCAGGGACACTGGGGACTATGACAGACAATTCTGGCATTTGTGTCATAGATATCTTAGAGTGAAGGGATATAAAAGATGGCTGGGAAAAAAGCATTCAAAACAACAGAGGCTTTAGAAAATCACTAAATTTAAAAAGACAAAAAAACTATAAATTGAAGAAATTGAGCAATTCCCAATCAAATTAAACCCAAACTTCTGAAAACTAAAGACAAACAACTTTTGAAAAAGAAAAACAATTTGAATGACATTGGATTCCTTGTCACTAACCCCGGAGAACAGAAGGAAATGAGACGGCATTTTTGAAGTGCTAAAGAATCATAAAAGTATATATCCAGAGAAAATATCCTTCAAGAATTATGGAAGTATTAAGGCATTCTCAGATAAAGGAAAAAACTAAGACAGTTTCATTTCCAGCAAACTTAGCTACTCTTAAAAGACATTTTTTTTCTACAGGGAAAAGAAATAATAAAAGAACGGATCTCAGAACATTAAGAAGGGAGAGGAAACAGTAGAAAGAACAAAAATATAGCTGAACTTCCTCAATTTAATTCAGAGCTCTAAAAACCCTACATCTGCCACATACTTAATGGTGAAAGACTGAATGCTTTTTATCCTGTGATGAGGACAGCACATAGATGTTTGCTCTCACTGGTGTTACTCAACATGGTGTGGAAGTTGTAGGGTACAAGATCATATGAAAGTCAGTGTTGGGCTAGAGGGGTGTAGAGCACTTGCCTAGCAACCACAAGGATCTGGGTTCCATCCCAAGCACATCCTCCTCCTAATTCTAAAAAGTCAATTTTATTTCTATAGATTAGCAATGCCTACATGACAACTAAAATTTAAAATATTGTAATATTTAATTTCTTTCTCAAAAATAAACATGTGGTATGTATATGCTAAAAACTACAAAGGCTGACCAAAGAAAATCAAAGATATAAATAAGTGAAATCTTCAATGCTCATGGACTAAAGATTCCGTGTAATAAAATTCTCGAGTCTTCACAAATTGATTGTTTACTGCATTTCCTATTGAAATCCCACTAAGCTTTTAAAACCTTTGTGTGATATTATAACTCTTGCTTCAGCAGCACTTATACTAAAATTTGGAACAATACAGAGATTAGAATGGCCCCATGCAGAAGGATGCCACACAAATTTGTTTTTTTAAAAGAAAGAAAAATTACAAAGTCATATGGAAAAGCAAAGGAAGTAGAATAGCCAAAACAAGAACAAGAAGTAGTAAACTTAGAAAAATTGCTCTCCTCTTTTAAACCTCGTGTATGTATAGGTACTTTCCTGAGGATACAGGCAGAGTGGTAGACACACAGACAGACAGAGCAGAGCAGGGAATCTACAAATAGCCCTGCTGTTTTGGTTGTGGCCACTTGATTTTTTGACAGCAGTACAGAAGCAGCTGAATAGATGAAAGATGGCCTTTGCATCAAGAGGTGCTAGAGTAAATAGATATTTAAGAAAGATTCTTGGAAACCTCAAATCTTTTACACAGTTTAATTCATTATGGACCATAGTTTAAAATGTAAAAAATAAAATGAAAGATTTTAAGAATATACCATAGAAGTGTGAGACTTAGAGTTTAATGAAAGATTTTTAGACATAACACTAAAAACAAGGTCCTTAAAAGAAAAAAAAAAGGTAAATCTCATTGTCAAAATTATAACCACTTGCTCTTTGACAGACCTTGGTAAAAGAATGAAAAGATCAGCTTCAGACTGGGATAAAATACTAACACCAATGTAAGATTCTTATCTAGGATTTAGAAAGAATTCTCATAACTTAGCAGGAAACAACAAGAACAAAAATGAAAGCAAGAGTCCGGTTAGGAAAATGTCAAAAGACATTAAGAGACATCTTATAAAAGAGTATGTATGTGTGGATAATAAGTAACCACATGAAAAGATGTTCAGCATCATAGCAACTAAAATAATTGAGATCACAGTGAGATATCACTGCATATGTGTTAGAAAAGGTAGTGACAATACAAAATACCAATGAGAATGAGGAGAAACTAGGTCTTATGTCCATTGATAGTGGATGTGTGTGTGTGTCCCTTAGCACCCAAGGGCATTGGGTCCAGGACCCCCTGTAGATACCAGTCTCCAAAGATGCTCAAGTCCCTTATATAAGATGGCAGAGATTTGCATGTAACCCAAGCACATCCTCCTGTATGTTTTCAGTCATCTCTTTAGGTTATTTATAACATCCAATATGATAGAAGTGCTGTGTGAACATTTATATTGTGTGGGGGATAAGGACAAGAACGAATGTACATACTTAGTACAAATGCAATATTTCTTTTCCAAATATTTTCAATCTTCGTTGGGTTGAATATATAAATGTTGAGCCTGTGGAAATGGAGGGCCAATATAGTATATCAAGAGAGGTTTATTTTAAGGAATTGGGTTATACAAGTGTGCATGTTGGCAAGTCCAAAATTTGGGCAATCCAAGGAAGAGTCAGTGCTAATGGTTCAAGTCTGAAGGTTGTCTGCTGACAGAATTACCTCTTACCTGGGGGAAGTTAATCTTCTTTTCTATTGAAGTCTTCAGCTGATGAATGAGACCCATCCTTATTATGAAGGGATCTACTTTGCCTTAAGTCCACCAATGTAAATGATAATCATGCCCCAAAACCCTCACAAAAACATCCAAAATGATGTTTGTCCAATATCTGTGCACTGTGGTTCTGCCAAACTGACATATCAAGTTAACCATCATCTCATGCAGCCTAACAATTATACCCCTGGTCATTTACTCTAGAGAAATGAAAGGGGTTTTTTTTGGGGGGGTTACCGGGGATTGAACTCAGGACCTTGCACTAGTGAAGCAGCTGGCGGCACCGCTGAGCTAAATCGCTGGCCCAAAAAATGGAAGCTTTTACATTTGTCCCCTTCCATGAGTGTTCATAGTGCTTTATTTATAATAGCAAAAAATTAAAATAAAAACAAAACAAAGTTATAATGTCCCTCAGTACATGAATGGATAAACAAACTGTGGTGCATCCATGTTGTGGAATCCTGGTGCACAAAAGAAAGGATTAAAGTTCTGATAGTTGTAACAGCTGGAGTGATCTCACAGGGACTATTATAGGAAAAAAATTCTCAAAAGCCACATCCCGTTTGATTGTTTATGTAATACAGATTGAGCATCCTTAATTAGAAGTCAAAAATACTCCAAGTTCTGAATCTCTGAATGCAAGCACAATACCACAGGTGGAATTTGCATGTCTGAGTAAGTGACTTGTTATGGTTAAAACTCAGATGCCCTAAAAATGTTATGTAAAGTTAGCTTCAGGACGTGTGTATGAACCATAATTTAATTCTTTCTGGACTTAGGTTCCAAGAAAGCTCGTTATGTATATACAGATATTCCAAAATCTGAAGAAATGTCTCAGGTATTTTGGATAAGGAATACTGAACCTGTATTTTTGAAATGATAACATAGAAATGGGAAACAGTTTAATGGTTTAAGGAAAAAAATGAGTAGTTTGGAGCAGATGTTTGTGCTTGATAGACTAGTTTTGTCCCTCTATTGCCGTGGCGGTCACACAGTCCACATGTGTGGGGACGCAATTAGAGCACTTCCTCCCACAGGCCAGTCCCTGGTTTTGGTCTTGTGCAGTAGGCAGTTGCGTCATGAATAACCACCAAGAGACACTGATGGGAGGTACCAGAGCGCACTGTATTGACTTTGCAATTTTCTCAGTTGTTTCAAAATAAGTTTGTATGTTTGTTTAAATATTTTGGCATGTCTTTTATCTTTATTTTTCTTTTGGAAAAAGAAATTTTCCAAAAAATTTGCACATACTATGGAAATACTAGATAGCCTAAAGGAGAAACTTATTTAATATCTGGACTGAAATGCTTATTAAATTTGTATATTTGCTGGGCCGGGGATTTAGTTCAATAGCACTGTGCCTGTCTCGCAAGTGCAAGGTCCTGAGTTTGACCCCCAGTACAGGGGAAAAAAATTTTGTATATTTGTCTGCTTATTTTAAATTCCACCTCAAAATATTATCTCTAAACTTAAATTGCTAAGAGAAAAGATTCTTATAGGAGAGGGTTTTTTTTGGGGGGTTGCCTCTTTTTTGCTGTATTGGAGTGAAACCCAGGGCCTTGCACATGTTACTGAGCTGTATCTCCGACCTTTTTTAAAAATTATGATGTGTATTAGCTAAGTTACCTGAGTTCATCTCCAGCTTGTGATCCTCCTGTCTCAGCCTTCTGAATAGCTGGAATTACAGGTACCTGACTAGGAGTTCTTTTTTAGTGTATGAAAAGACTCCACTTGAGCTTTGAATAATTTAGTCATTAGGTAACTTAGTCTATATCTATTACACATACTCTTAACATGATCTTTTCAGTTGTGATAAATATTTAAATCAGTTGAATGTTAAAACTTGAATTGCTATATGGACAGTTTTTCTAGCATGCTTCCTCTGAATGTAATACTGTGGTTTTTATTTTGACCAGTATTCTTCAGCATCCAAATATTCTCCAGTGTGTTGGACAGTGTGTAGAAGCAATTCCCTATCTTCTGGTGTTTGAATTCTGTGACTTGGTAAGTTTTTAGTAGAAATTCAAATTGAAAGGTTGCAAGGGTTATACCCAGGGGCTTTTATTGTTTTGTTTTTTGGCGGGGAACCCAGACCCTTTGCACTAGGTGACATCCCAAGCCCATTTTCATCAATACTATGGATTGAACCCACCTAGTTATATCCCCAGTCCTTTTTAATTTTTATTTTGGAAAAGGTTCTCACCAATTTGCCCAGAGAGGCCTCATACTTGTAGTATTCTGCCTGAGCCTCCTAAAGAATAGCTGGAACTGTAGGCATGAGCCGCTGTGCCCAGTTTTCCAGCTGTTTTGATGAATAGAAAATGGTGGGCTTGGAAATACTTTTTATCTGTCCCCCATCTGAACATCTTTGTAATATAGTAGCTCACTGCCTTTGATCATCGTATTAAGCAGCACTTCTACAGTGTTTCATTATACTCCAAGCCCTGAGCTAGGTTCTTTATGCTCCTCACCACATTGAATCAAGAAAAACTCCTGAGTTAGGTACTAATATTTGTTCATACTTTACATGTGATTAAAGTAAGACTGGGGCAGGAGGGTCAGGAAAATGTATTCTTCCTAAGACCTTGAGGTCTTCATTTGGGCTTGGCATTTTGAATTTCTGATTTTCCCTGTTGGGAAAGCCCAAGAATACTCCTTACCAGTAGCATACCCATAATCTGCCAGTTTTAAAATGGTGAATATATGTAACATTTGTACTTTTAAAGGATAACTTGATTTATTTTGTGGATTATTCTGAGCATGATACTCATACTGCTCATAAAGACTTATAGATGGAATAATTTTAATAACAAATTCAGCATGATAATTTTCTGTAAACATGTTTTTAAACTCAGTGCAAAATATTTCATCTTAAGCCTATTTTTTAACACATAATTGTTTTTTCCCAAAAACAGTTCATCAAATTTATTAGGTTTTAATTGACTTCTTTGCATCATCTTAGTTTTCAGAACATTAAAACTTTCTTGTCTATGCACAGAAAATTAGGAGTACCCCAGGATAAATCCCCAGTTAATTCAAGTAACGTTTCCATCTGTTAAGATAGAAAGACCGTTCCATCTCCCTCGCAAGTGCAAGGTCCCGAGTTCGGTCCCCAGTACCAAGAAAATAAAATTGAGCTCTGTAAATATTGTGAATGTTTTTATCTTTGATTTCTAAATGTGATTTGAACTTTTCTATCATTGATAGAGGTGGTTAATTACAAAGGAAAATTAATTAATAAATGATACACCTCCTCTCATTCTGTTGTGTCACAGTGACCCCCCTGAGTCGCTGTGGCTTGACTTACACTAACAAAGTAATTCTCACTCCTTTTACCTTTTGATTTTGGGTAAGCTGCAACTCTGTCCAGCTAACATTCTAGGATCAGTTTTCTTTGTCTCTGTGAATGCTGGTGTGCATGCACACACACACACACACACACACACACACACACACACACAAATACACAAATGTATATTCTGGTGCTGTTTCCTATGATGTTTATGGGGCTTTTGGGTCAAGTTTATGAGGTTGCTCAAATCTCCTACATCCTTGTGCATTTTGGGGTGAGAAGAAAGGGATTGAGAGGATTTGAATCAATTCTCTGTCAGTTACTGAAAGAAGCATATTAAAATTTCCATTCTGATGATGGACTTTCCTTATAATTCTGGTTATTTTGCTTTATACCTTTTGATACTTTGTTGTGTGGGAATACAAATTTAGATTTAGGCACTGGTGATATAGCTTGGTAATAGAGATTTGCCTAGTACTCTTATGTGCAAGGTTCTGGATTCTATATCTGGAATTGTTAAAAGAAAATCAGATTTAGCATTGGTATGGCTTCCTAAAATTTGAACCTTTTAGCATATGAAAGGGCCATCTTTAAGGTTCAAAGCATCTCTATTAATCTTCAGTCTTGGTCACTTAAAATAGAACATTTACATTTATTGTAGTTAATGAGATTTTGGAACTTTCTCTACCTAATTGGTACTAATTAGTTTTCTTCCCTCTACCATTTTTTTTTTTTTAGATTCTTGATTTTCCTTCTTCAGTTTTCCCATCTACTAATTAGATTTTTAGATACTGTTTCTTGATTTTGTGTGCAACTACCCTGGATATTACAATGTGCATATTAAACTTAGTTTTTTTAACCTGGCTGCAAAGAAACTGGGATCTCTTAGAAGTCTCACTGTGTGTGAGGAAACCGGGAATTAAATTTATTCTCTGGGCTGTTCCTGTAGTTCCTTCTGTATTGAAGGGTGCTTTGTTACCGGACCGGACACTTACATCACCGGACATCATGCAGCAGCCCTGAGACCCAGGGGCACAGTGTAGTTTTGTCCTCTAGGTATCATAGGTGGGGGCACCAATGGTAAGCTATGTACTAGGTGCATGCAGACTAAGAGGCAGGAGTTTTTGATGTTTCTAGACAGTTTTATTTTGTTTTGGTTTTTGGTTTTTAGTGGTTTTGTTTTTTGGTTTTTTGTTTTTTTTTTTTAGTACTGTGGCTCGAACTCGGGTCTTTGCACTTGCAAGACAGGTGGTGGAACCACTGAGCTAAATCCCCAGCCCTCTGACAGTTTTATTGAGTATTCTGTGTTGCTTACCTCAGTATTATCAGAGCTGTAATATTTAATGGTCCCAGCTTATGACAACATGGAAATAACTTTTTCATCTATATCCGTGTGACCAACATACTAGATGATTTTGGTGCTGGCAGACCATGGAGCGAAAAAGTAGTAATTTAATCTGAAATAGTAATTTAATCTGTTTTTTTTTATAAACACTTAGAACATAACTAGATACACAACTCATTTACTGTTACCACACATGATCTAGTTCTGACAAGACTGCAATGTTCTTTGTATCTTTGTCACTGTACAGACTTCATATTAAATTCCATTGGCTTCCATACTTTTCAGTTGAAAATTATGTATGCTCTCCATAATTAACAAGTGTGACTCCTTGAAGCCTCTGTGGCACATGTAACTCCTGAAAACTTAACTTGAGCTTAGCTTTCATCCCCACCAAAAACTTCTCTTGGCAACGTGGAGCTTGTACATATGTCTGATTTAAGTGTGCCACCCAGTAGGACAATGATCAACAATAAATTTTTTTTTTTTTTTTGGTACCGGGGATTGAACTTGGGCCCTTGCGCTTGCAAAGCAAGTGGCGGAACCACTGAGCCAAATCCCCAGCCCTCGGCAATAAAATTTTAAAAGCAACCAGTTTTTCTAAAAAGACTAAAATTGGAATTATTATATGATCTAGCAATTTCTCTTTTAGGATATTCCCAAAAGAAGTGAAGGCAGGGTCTAGAATAGGTGCTTGCCTGCCCAAGTTCACAGCAGCATCATTTACTGTGGCTAAAGGATGGAGGCCACCCAAGTGGTGGCTGTTCATGGGTTAGTAGATAAAACGTAGAGTTATACACACAATGGAATATTGTTTAGCCTTTATAAGGGAAGAAGTTCTGATACATGTGACAATATGCATGAACCTTGAGTACAATATGTTAAGTGAAATAAGCCAATCACAAAAGACACTGTATGACTCCTCTTGTAGGCAGGACCTAGAGCTGTCAAATTCAGAGAAAGCAGAAGGATGGTTTTCAGGGACTGGGATAAAGGAAGAAAATTATTAAATGGATGCAGAGTTTTGGTATTGCAAAATTAAAAAGTACTGAAAAGGGATGGTAGTGATGGCTGTATAAGTAATGAACATGGTAAATTTTATGATAAGTATATTTGCCACAAAAATTGCATTGGTAATTACTGCTAGTTAAGATGCTGTCTGGTGTTTACCTATACTAGGAGGAGGCTGATACACCCTTTGGAAGTCTCTGGGCATGACTTGGCATGACTGATCTCAGACCAATGTAAATCTTTTGCCCGGGGGGGGGGGTCCCTCCACATTCATTGCCTGCAAGTGTAAAGTCACAGTTGTCTCTGTGGGCTGGCTTCAGGCTCATAACTCTGGGCCCTAGGAAGCCTTAAGGCTTTAAAGGGACAGGTTCTGTAGCACCACTGACTCGGTGCTGATCAGGTCACTGGCCCTGAAGTCTGGCTGCCCTGGGCACAGTTTGTGTGGAGACAGTATGGCAGAGCAGTCTGGGGATGGGATGGGATGGGGGGTCAGCCCAGTGAGCAGAGGATGCCGCCTCACAGACTTTGGGGATGTACTCAGGACACACCAGGCCCTTATCTGGACACTCTGCCCTTCCCAGGCCTGCATGTCCAGCACTGCCCACCAGACCAGCCTGATCAGAGGAGTGAAATCCAGGGCAAGAAATACCCTTTGGCCACTGTCCCTGCCCTAATCATAGCTGTTGTGGCTGCAGTGAATGGACCACCCATCTCCACGTGTTCTCAGGTTACAGAGATACTGAACATTGACCTTTTCAGCCCTTACCACACAGCAGTCATTCCGAATGATAACATCTTTCAAGTAGAAAGGAGAGAATACTTTTGCCCTTAAGTAATTCCATATAAAATGAAACTATCATCACTTCTCACCCTTTTGGCTAAGATCAAATGTAGTAAAATAGAACCACCAGCTTGGTTTTAGAAAGCTTGGAATCTAATGAAAACTGCTGAGTTTGGTAGCTAGTACGTAGCAACCAGCTAGTTTGCAGCAGTTGGCAGTGTGTGTGAGAGGGCTTGAGGGTTACTGCAGGGTAGTAGTAGGTATACAGTGCTCTCACAGGAAAATCCAGACAATGAAGTTGACCTCTGGTTGAGGGTCACTCATTCAACAGAAATGTCTTGGGCACCTGTGAAGTGCAGAGAGCTGTGCTGGGGCTGAGGGAATAGAGGTGGCTGCACTGGGTCGCTGCCTTTTCCACCTGTGGAGCCAGGTTTAGACATCTGTAAAGTTCCACCTGTGAAACGATAGAACAAATAGTAGGTGCGCATTAAATCGTGGTTAGTTTTACCGGTTTAATGGGGGATAATCACTCACCAAATAGGGGTTTGAGCAGCTAATGACAGTGCCACTAAGAACTG